GGTAGCAGGAGCTTTCCTAGACTTGAGCCTACTTCCTCAGATGCACCTTTGCATCAGAAGAGGTACCGTAGGTTCAAGCCTAGGAAAGCTCCTGCTACCAACTTCTTTCTGTCAGTCTCAAAGGGCTGCAAAAGAGGGTGACCCGATGGCCTCCTTTACTAGGACATGTTCTACACTTCAGCCTTTTGTCCAAAAGAAATTTCAAAATGTCCTCTGCTTTGAGCATGACCTAGAAGCATGAATGTATAGTTATAGTAGTGTCTTGAGCTTTCATTTTATAAGGCCCTACATTTTTCTTGAATGTCCTACATTTCACAGTCTTGTCTTCCTTTGTGTTTAGGACATATGGTCACCCTGTGCAAGATCCCTCAGTATACTGTTTTCCACAGTATGTCCAGTATGTCTTTGAAATACTACTTGGAACAGTGTTGCAGGGGACATGAGGGCTTTCTGAATGTCTATATTACACATTCTGTATTTGTAACATTTCTAAAATACTACATCTCTAGGGAGGGGGAGACTGGAAGTGATCTGGAGACAAGATAGTGGTGCATAAGCATTGAGATACAATATGGTGGTGCACATCTGACAAGTCTTGCATCTTAAATGGTGAGCTTTGTCTTCAGACTGTTCAGACACATTACCGGTTAAAAAGAATGACTAGAAATAATCTGAGAACACAGAACAGAACAAGTGGCTGGAGCAACATGTGGCTGCTCAGATTTTGTTGGATTGCAACTCTGCACATTTTACACCATTGGCTATGCTAGGCTAGGGCTGTACATAGTACTTGGTTGTTCAATGACTTTTGGGAAGGGGCACATGACTGATACATTTGATGTCTTTACCTAGAGCAGGGGTAGGCAACCTTTCCCTTTTAAGGGCTGAGGGACTTCAGCTCCCAGAAGCCTCAGCCATGTTAGCCAATAGTCCCATGTTGGCCAACAGCTCCTGGGATTCTGGGAACTGAAGTCCCTCGTCCCTTAAAGGGGAAAGGTTGCCTACCCCTGACCTAGAGGATGAAAAGCAAGCTTTTGTCATTGTGTAGTAATGAGATGAATGGATTGAAGCTCTATTAGAAGACTACTGCAGAAATACAGAAAGTTGCCCCAGTTTGCATCTATGCATTGATGGGATATGTGAGAACAAGTTGTTGTGTGCCTTCAAGTCATTTCTGACTTATAGTGACCCCATCATGGGGTTGTCTCAGCAAAAGTTGTTCAGAGGGGGTTGCTATTGACTTGAGCAAGGTCTCCTACAAACGGCCTTTGCAGACTGCCAGAAATAGTGCAAATTGAGACCACTTTAACTGCCTTGACTCAGTGCTAGGGAATCATGGGAATTGTTTTTTCCTGAGACATTGAGACTTCTCTGTCAGAGAGCTCTGGTGCCACAATAAACTACACTTCCCATGATTCCCTAGCACTGGGTCAGGGCAGTTAAAGTGGACTCAA